GATAATAATAATATATTAATGAGTGAGAACACTTAAATGATTTTTTTTATATCTGATGAAGGGTTAGAATTATTTTTTTTCTTTTCATCTGTTTTTGAAGCTGCAGCTCCATCAGGGGGTCTCCATCAGGGGCCTCGTCAGGTGTCTCCATCAGGGGCCTCGTCAGGTGTCTCCATCAGGGGTCTCCATCAGGGGTCTCCATCAGGTGTCTCCATCAGGGGCCTCGTCAGGTGTCTCCATCAGGGGCCTCGTCAGGTGTCTCCATCAGGGGCCTTGTTGCCCTCAGGGCCCCTCAGAGCTCCTCCCCTCCTGTGTTTTCAGCAGCAGTTTGACTGACAGCTGAGCTCTGGTTGCGTGTGAGCGAGGTTTGGAGGTCAGGAAGGCGTGTTCAGGTGATGAGCTGAACTCACGCTAACATTTCTCACATTCAGGGCATAGTTTGTTGAGGAGAAATCAAAGCAGGGCAAGGGAAGTTACCTCATGGTGTTGAAACAGCAGGGACACGCGAACCGGGTCATCGTGTCGGCTGATTTATGTCTGCTGTCAGAGGAAACGGTTTTTACTGCACCGCTCTGTCAAACTCTGAGATTCAAAGTGAAAACAGAAGCTGTGCAGAGGAGTCATGTACATGTGCTTCATCACCAGCCTGACAGCTGCAGCAACACGCTACAGCTGACTAGTTTCACCCATAGACTTAAAATATAGATCACTAGACTGAGCCCCGCCCATACCGTCCACTGGTAGTGTCTGTGACAGACTGGAGGAGCAGAAACAGACCAAACAGGCCAACAGCTCACAGCAAACATAGAAACTAAGAGATAAACAGCAGCTGAACTGGATCTGTTTCACAGATGATCTGTCATGTTTTCACAATAAATTAATAACTATGTTAATTTCATTCAACAATCATGTAAAACAGCAGATTTATAKCAGAAAAATATATAATTTATAAGTAACAATGATCTAAGCTAGACCTGAAGTCAGTCTGTAACTTAGACTTTAGCTAGTTGAAAAATGATATCAGCTAGTAACAAAGTATATTTATTATTTCTTATTACTGTCATAAAAAAGGATCTTAAACAAACATGGTCCTCCACCTTTAAATGATTTTATCCACAAATATTCATCTAGAATGAATACCAGGTCTCAAACTAGAGGGGACTGCGTTGTTGCAAAACGGAGAATGGAGTTTGGTCAAAAGGTCACGTCCATCACAGGAACTCTTATGGAATGAACCTGTAAATATCAGACACTGTGATAGTTATTCCGCTTTAAAAAGAAACTTAAAGTTTGGCTGAAAGAAAATCAGTCATGCATTCACCTGTAACATAATGTAACTGTAGACCTTGTAGACCGAGGAGTTTGTGTGTTTGTTGGGCAGCGTTGAATTTTGTCTGTTTTGTGRACTTGTTTTATGAAATGTTATTTTTTTTACCTGCTCAGGACTACGGAAGAAATTTAGCTGTTGTGCTAATATTGGCACATTTGTATTCACAGAATATTAATTATGTGCATTGTCCTTTTAAATAAATAAATGAAATTTAATGAAAAAAACACAAGACAGGTTAATAAATAAATTCTAAAAAAACATTAGAACTCGGTCAGGTTTGAAGATTCTAATAAATAAAATAAGGCTTAATATAGTGAAAAAAAATAACAGAAAATTTCTAAAACAATTTGAAAACATGAAGTTTTATCAACGCAGAGTAAAAAATAAACTGTAGCATCAGGTCKTCAGATATGTTGATTTTATGTTTACTTTATGGAGGAGATAAAAGCTAAAACACTCCACTTCCTGTTTTAAAGAGAAAAGTTTGAGCTCAGATACGATGGAATTCAATGAGAGTTTGAGTTTGAGCACAAAATATTCCTTTTGATGTACAGTGAATTGATTTTCATTGGAGTTATGTTCCTAAAGCTAAACAGTTAGCAGCTACACACCAGCTGCCATGGCCAGAACCAAAGCTTTGTTTGTTCTGGAGAGCAGATCCAAAACAACCTAAAGACAGTTTTCTGTTCAAAAAGAAGTTAGTAAAGATCAGACATGTTAAAAATGTCCAAATGGTTCTTTGTCTTTGCTAWAATGTGTTTTCTTTACTCTAGATCATTTCAGTTTTCTCGTTCTGCRGCTCCCAACCAAGAGAAATGACATCATCACAGCAGCCGCGATGCCACTGAGCTCTTCCACACCTGCTGAAAGTCCAGGTGAAATRTTTAGACTCTTTATTCTGATCCTGGTTGTCTCATCAGAATATTTAACAATCTGGTTTGACCTGCATTTAGCAGTACAATCATGTAGAATGAAGAACYAAGGACCGAGTACACATCCATGAGGGATGCCCGAGATTCAGTGTAAGCTTTTGGGACTTTTCCAAGAGTATAAAACAATGCATGTTTCTCTAAATGGATTTTATGGAGTTCTACGAACTGTAGATGTCCCTGACGGGAAGGTTTTCAGTGATTAATTAACAAAAATTACAAGACATCATTATAAATAGTGACAGAACAGCGGAGGATTAAATTATTCATGATTTTCTGTCAAAAACAACAAACGATTGAAGTAAAAATAATGATTCTTTTCCAATAAATTCTTTCTGTGTACAAACTAGACTTTGATTTAAAGACAGTTTTTGACTTTTACAGGGTTGTTTTTGTAGTTTAACGGTTTCTAACCCTGACAGAGTCCACACACTCAGTAAAGAGACCCTCGTCAGGGGGGTCTCCAGTTAATTATTAGAGATTACTCAACCTGCCGTTGTCTGATTGGTCAGACGTCCGTCAAAGCAAACTGGTTGGCGTCGAATCAGGGGAGAGTTGAGCGCCGGGGCAAACTTTAAACTCGGGGACCCGAAAGCYAGCGCCCCATTACGACTGAGCGACCCCAGTGACTTCAGATGTCAAACTGCCCCCCCWCTTCGTCCCCCTCCCCATCCCGCCCCGATATTTCCCAGAAATGGACAAATCTTGTTTTTGCTCTCATCTTGACTGAACTCGAAATAGAAGCAGCTTTGCGTCAAAGTTCAGAGGAACGATGCTAATGAGCGTTAGAAGCATCCTAATGATCCTGCAGATGGAGGTACTTCTGTTGCCGCGTTTTTGTTTTCCTGTCTGGCCAAGTGTTTCGCAGGCGCTTGCCAAAGRGTAGTCAGCAGCCCGTGAAGGCGTCTCCCCTCCGTTCTCACACTAAAAGGGCATTTACCCCCTTTTTTGTCAGATCAGAGAAAAACCTTCTCAGGGTCCGATGGGTCCAGCTGAACTGCTGGTTTGAAAAGAATGGGAGGCCGAATGCGTGTTTAGCTGCATGAATGCGCTTTTCAACCCACGCCAACCGAAAACAGTCGTGCCCGCTTCCCTTTGCCGCCGTTGTCGTCGGTCATTGTTTTTAAATTTTTGGCCCAGTTTAATAGAACAGCTTAATGAAAACAGGTGTTGTGTTTTTTGTAGAAAACCATTTGAAAGGAATGAGATGTGCGTTGTGGTGAAAAATGTTTTCATGGAGTTTTATCACCAKCACTGATCCATCATGGTGCACTCATGAAGCAATGGTTCCCACAATAAAGGAGAAACCTTACTGATGTTGATTCAAACAGTTTAACTGTTAACATCAACAATATGAATAAAAACAGGAAGTTGTTTCTTCTTCTCTTGTCTGATGAGCTCTAAMCTCATCTGGACTCTGCAGGACGACGTGTTGCTGTTTTAACCCGAGCCAGGTCTCTTTAAAAGTCACTGAAGCTTAGAGGTCCCCCCTCGTGTGTTTATCTCCTCCCCGCTGTGAGATGTCAGAGGTGAAGCGTTACTCAAAGGGAGGATCAGCCCGTCCCAAACGTCCCCCCCTCAGACCTGGTCTTAGTGTTTTTCTAAGAAAGTGATGATGACAGACGGTCACGCCCGATGGGCTGAGGTCCGCAGAGGTGGAAGTCACGCAAAGAGCTGCTTTAATACTTTCTGTGAAAAAACACAGAGAGCTGGATGACTAGAATCTGCTAAAAATATTAAAGCTGTGTTATTAAAACAAGCCAAACAGAGGCTAAAATTAGTAAAACCCCAGCTAATTTGTAATTTKTTTTAACTGTAGCTAAAAATACAAGAACTAACAAAGTAATGAGACAAAAATAATTTAAAAAATACTAAAATTTGAGCTAAAGTTAACAAAACAGTACCGTACCCAAAATTAGCAAAACAGTGCCTAAAATTAGCAAAAAACATGCTGCAGTAAAAGCAGTAGTCAAAAAAGCAGTTGCTAAAGCTAAAATAAGCAAACATTTACTAAATTAGGAAAAACATTTGCTAAAATTAACAAAATAGTAGCTAAAATTAGCAATCCAGTAGATAAAATAAGCAAAACAGTAGCTAAAATGAGCAAAATGGTAACTAAAATAAACAAAACCCAAGCTAAAATGAACAAAGCTGTAGCTAAAATAATCAAAATTACACTAAAAATAAAAACAGTAGGTAAAATGAACAAAATGGTAACTAAAAAGCAAAATATAAGCTAAAATAAGCTAAAATTAACAAAACAGTTGCTAAAATTAGCAAAATTGTAGTCAAAAGTAGCAAAATGGATGCTAAAGCTAAAATCAACAATGCGCTTGCTAGCTAAATGAAGCTAAACTGCAGTTAAAGCTAAAGACTTGCAACAGAAACAATAACTTAGATAAAATTTTACTACCCTGTCAACTAAAAAATGTAGTTTTTCTGCCTTTTCAAACCATTTGTGGCTGAAACTTTTTGCTCTGAATCTGAAGGAAAGAAACTAAACTTTGACTGAAGGATCTATAATCTTCAGACATTTTTAAATTCTGTGACAGAATCACTGCCGTACAAATGTTATTAGTTTTAACGACATTGCAACATTATTTTAATAAACTCCGGTGTGTCGGTGTTCGGCTGGTTCTGGTTCTGGTCCTGTGGGTCTGAGGAGGACGTGTCCTCTGGGGGTGTTTCCCCCGACTGTCAGGTTCCTGATCCAACCTTCAGATGTGAACCAGATTAGCTCWCAGAGTTCAGTTCCTTATTTCACTTTCTATCATTTAACCTCAATAATCTGAAGTATTTTTGGTTGTGAGGAAAAAAAACCWAACAAAAAAAGTTTAAAAAGAGGTGAATACTTTTCCAACCCTGTTCAGATAAATGTTTGTAAAGTTTTACAACATGGAGGATTTATTATGTAAATTTTGTTATACGTTGGTTAATCCACATAAAATCTATTGAACGGAAAAAGTCTCCATCACCTTCAGGTGGCTCATTGTGCAGAAGGTAAATATATTCGGCTGCTTTTTGTGGAAACAAATTACTTCCTCTCCACCCCTCGTCAAAATAAAAGCCCTAAACTCTCCAGACAAAAATCAAATCCAGTCCCAGAGAAGGAAGGAACACCAGCCGTCATCTGAGCTGAACTGCAGCAGCTCCTTCTGAATCATTTTAAACATTAAATATATTTATTACAAACTCACTGAATGATTTTATCAGCGTAAAGTTTCATCCTCACAGAGAAACAAGAAAAACTAAACATTTCTGTGCAAACTGAATTCCAGTCGCAGCTTTTTTCTCTTTTCTTCTAAARAAAATTCAACATTTGCTGCTTCACACCAAATAATCTTAGCTTAGATCTCGTCTCTYAGTGTAAAATCCCTGTTTGTGGGTTAGCTGCAGCTCGGTGGGCTCAGGCGTGCAGGTGGTCGTCTTCGGGCTRGACATGCTCTAATAACTCAGACTGGACTCTAATTAAAACTTTATTTGAGCCGGACTGAAGCCCTGCCTCGGCTTCAGCCTAACAAAGACGTCTGAGAACGGTTTAAGCACCACAAAAAGAAATAAATCACAGAGTTTCCTGTCAGTCAGCTGTGTTCTGCTTCTAACAGGTTCAMTTCTGCAGTTTGGAAAGTGAGCAGCTGAAGCTGGAGTTTGTGTGAAACTGACTTCTTCAGAACAAACTGCAGCAGGCTGAGGAGTTTCTGTAGCGTGTGCAGTGAGACCTGCTCTGAAGCTGGGAAAATACAGTGTGGTATAAAGAACCACAAAGTGATACTTGAGTAAATGTACAAGTTTCTTACCAAAAAATTACTTTAACTTTTACCAAAGTCTCCTTTAAGAATATTACTTGAGTAAAAGTCTTAAAGTATCTGATACTTTTTGTACTTAAGTATTAAAAGTAAAAG